GACTTAACATAAATAATAATACATAAAAGTACCACATTATCATCACATTAGTGTCTCCACTGCTGGGGCACAGGCCTTCCCTATGGATGGAATAGGGAGATTGGGCCATAACCCACCACGCGGGCCCAGTGCGGATTGGCGGGTGACTGCAGATGCAGCCGGGACCACCGGCTTAACGTGCCTCCCGAAGCACGGAGGAGCTCGAGATAGTAAATTTTCGGTCACCCATCCAATGACCGACCACTGCGAAAGTTGTTTAAATTCAACAATCGCAGCGGAACGCGCTAACCACTTGCGCCATCGAGCTCCTCTGTAAAATTTAATTTTATGTAATTATATCGTTGTTTTCGCCAGCTCCTCAATTTATTTATGTACTAGTGGCCCGCCCTCGCTTCGCTTCGATGTAGAGCTGTAGTGTGGATTTAAATAACTCTTCATATAAGTAATTATAAAAAAAAAACTGAAAATGGTATATTTGCCTTTTCCAAACTTCTATTGACATCACGTCCCTCAATTGTTTTGCTTTCCCAGAATCTCTCCGCTAACATTTAAAATTTATGGTATGGTATTAAAGTTCAAATTGACTTTTAAGTATTATTACGAATCGTATGTATGGGAGTATAGAAAAGTGTTGTTTTTGGACATTTTCAGGCAATTTTTGTAATTTTTCTCTGCGTAAGAACCATCCTCGGACTTCTGTTCTCGAGATTTGCGCTTAGGAACACATTCAGCGATTCATTTTTATATTATAGATCAATACCATTTATGTACATTATGGTAAAGCAAAAAATAAATTGATTGGTTGAAACCTCGCGATCTTGGTGCAATGCTCTATACAAGTTTTGAACCCGCGATTAACCCAGAGTTTGAGAGGGTTGAGGGTTAGAAAAACCCACAAAACCCAAAAAGAGGTTAGAAGTGCCTTGTGAACGCGGCAGGCGCGCCACTGTTATGTGTGAGCAAATGCTCTTGACTAAGACTTGACCAAAACTTGGTTCTGATTGCGTCGTTGCTCTCGGGCGGGTATGAGCGCTGATTGGTTCGATTTTTTGATGTCGCGTCGTATGATTGGCTATTATGTATTGATGGAAGTGTAGCGGGAGCGAGTCGGCGAAATAGGTTCCCATACAAACGGTCTATAATCACTCTTCTAACATCTTTCTGTGTTCTGTTGGAAAATCCTTTTTTTTTAGCACGTCTACATCATAAAAGCTATATGTGTGCCAAATTTCACTGCAATCGGAATAGTTTGAGCTGCGCGTTAATGGATCAGTCAGTCAGTAAAAGTCGCCTTTTATATAATTCCGTGACGACCGACCTCCGTGGCCGACTGGTTTGTACGCCGGGTTTCAAGGTGTCGCCTACTCGAGAGGTCCCGGGTTCGAATCCCGGCGGGGGCAGATGTTTGTGTGATGAATACGAGCATTTGTACTCCAGTCATGGATGTTTAATATATATGTATTCTATCCGTTACCCTAGTATCCCATAACTCTAGCCTTACAGTGCTTACTTTGGGGCTAGGCTGATTGGTGTGAGTGTTGATGAAATATTTATTTATTTATTATTACAACAATATAGATCACCAAAACAATACAACTACAATCCTGATATTATCGTCAGCTTTTCAATTGTATTTTTTCATGATCATTTACTGTTTCTTTGAGCCTTTGTTATACATATAGCTAGACCTTGTACATAACTTGGAGAGTTTTTATGTGCACGCATTTGCCCTGTTTTTCAGAGGTCCAATACTGCCTAACGAAATTATATTAAGTAGGTTACGATAGTTCCTTGTATTATAGATTGTGGTGTTTTGGGAAATAAAATAAAAAAACTCCCGATATTCCCTGTATACGTCTTTTGTACGAAATGAACGAATAATTGGAATTGAAATAACAATTTTTTTCTCCGTATAAATTAGCTCTGTATCGTATTTTCATGAGAAGTTTCAATCTGAAATTTTACATGAAAGCACATGTTACATTAACAGAAGCATATATAATAAATAAGGCAAAAATATCGTTTTCCTTGAATTCTTATTATTTACGTGTTTGCTTATAAATTAAAATTATTTCATTACACGAAGTATTATTTTAAGCCCAAGATCGATCTGAATGACGTGCATTTGGAGAGGCTTATGTCCAGTGTACTAGGATAGGCTGATGATGATGATGATGATGAAGTATTTTTCTCTTATTTTAACTGAGTATAATAACACTTTTTGAACGGGCGTAGGTAAAGCGCAATTTATTAACTTATTTCATTATACCTGACGTTTCGGATCTTTAACGGGTTTCGTGGTCGCAATACTGTTCGTTATTGGGATTCCGTACCTGGAAAGGAAAAAACGGAACCCTAATATAATAACTTTGTTGTCCTTCCGTCCGTCTGCCAAGACCCTTTTTGTCATGAAAGCGTAGAGGTATCCAGCTAAAAGTGATATCAAACACTCAGGTCTACCGTTCCTTGAAGATGTGACAAAATCAAACTTCTAAGCCAACGCAATCAAATAAGCAAGATACAGCCGTTTCTGCCGCAAATTTTCTAAACTCACAATGGAATCAAAACCTAGAGGATACTTCCCGTGAATGCAGAATCTTGAAATTTGGTACGAAGCAACGTCTTTAAAGCACAGATAAAGGAAGAATTGGGAAACCCATAAATATACCTACAGGTTTGTACGAAACCCTCAGTCGAGGTCGACTCGCACTTGGCCGGATTTTTTATATTAATCCGCCTACTACACCGTATCATACCATGACCATGCCAAGAACGTGTCAGGCAAAAAAGTTTTATTTGTATTGAAAATTATGACGTTGTTCCCGCTAGACCGTTCTGTCACCGACCAACACAGTTGCGTCCAAGCACGGAGCGTCAACAAATTGTCGGCAAGAATAATTTGAAAGAAATTTATTTATAATTTTTCATTTTAAAGCATGTAACTGCTTGATGTTTAAATCTAAAGAAAATATAACTAGAAAAAAATGTGGGCTGCCTACAATTCGAAGAGATGGCGCTGCCTTGCAGCTTAAGAATGGCTAGAAGAATTTCGACGTGGCCATCGGGGCAGCGGGAGCATAATTGGTCAGTGCATTCGCCCGGATAGCGAAGGGTGCGGGTTCGAGTCCTGTCTGCTGCCTGGTCGGCGTGGATTTTTTTCTAGTTATATTTTCTTTAGAAATTTATTTGTTTATTTTTCTTTCTAAAGCTTCTACAGCGGTTTTTTGTGTATTAAATACATTAAAATATAAAAACAATCTTAAGGCCAATTACAGAAACTCATTATGTACACATTGGCTTGTACTACTAAATATCAGTATTTATTACATTTAATTTTAAAATTTATATAAAAGGGCATATAATTAACTAACATAAATAATTAAATTAAATTAAGATTGGATACAACAAAACATAACAAAAAAAGATAAACAATCACTATATACCAATACAAAAGGGTTTCCAAGAAATTGTCACATGATAACTTTATGAAGTATGGGTGTGTGTGCGTATAGCTGCAATGCTATGCCTCGTAACGAGATGGCGGGCGCCACGCCCCGGGCACTGCATCATTCAAGTACTTTAGTGTGAGTGCTTGAAAGAAATTTTATTGGCCTTAAACACATATTTACATAAACAGAACACAGGAAGACAGGTCAACTAGGTCCCTGCCACAGCTTAATACTACTTATTGGCGGGATCGGGAAGCGTCAATTTAGCAGTTTTGTTTTTCTTGTAAAAAATTATGTTGTGGCGGATGTTAGTGTCTAATAATGGTCGATTATTAACCACTAAGTGTTCGGAAACATGCACAAGTGCTGGCAAGTGAAACAAAATAGCGAAGTGTCTTTCGACGTTCCCTCAAGAAGTCCACGGGGAGGTTCCAGTAGTACCCCACACATTTACTGAAACATAGGGAAAGGGGGATTGACTTGACTGCCACTTACTTTGACTTAATTTATTACTTTGTGCTATAGAATTTGTAAACAATTTAACACTTGACATTGGCTAAATGCGCAAGCCGTGCGAAGCCATTTAGAAAAAAAATGACGAACATGAACTTAGAAAAATAAATAAAAAATAAATGTTGGTAGCCTTGTTTCATCTACTGTAAATTTTACTATAAACTATAGTTAAAATACTAGAGAAAGAATGATCATATGTCAAAATTTGACACATTCACTATTATATATTTCTCGTGACATTAACTATAGATGAAACAACGCGGCCTTAGTCATTTTGAAAGAATACCTTTATGTTAATCCTGCTAAAATTAATTTGCCTTTCGTATAAGTGGTCGGCGTATAAGCTTAAGGGCGTAGATGTACTTCCCATGTCTAAAGGAAATTAGGGTACGAGGGACATAATCCCAATATCACGGAAGAAGCCTTTATAGTTGTAAGACATTTTCCCGTAATATAAATCCCAGGGAAAACGGCCCAGCGGCTTCCAAAGGTTACAAGACTTACATGAGCCTTTTCCTTGGTACAAGCTTGCCCTACCTACTATTTCAGAGATTAATTTTGAAAGTAATTTCGAAATTCAAACTAAAATACGAATTTTATCTAAAAGATGATCTATTGCATTAAAAACTATGTAAAATTTTAAAGATCTTTGTTCCGCGTTAATACAATTTCATTGTTAATAGTTAGTTAATCCGCTGGTTTGTTAATAAGTCATCATCATCAGCCTATTAATGTCCCCACTGCTGGGACACAGGCCTGCCCTATGGATGGAATAGGGAGATTGGGCCATGACCCACCACGCGGGCCCAGTGCCGTTTGGTGGGTGATAACGACTGCAGATGCAGCCGGGACCAACAGCTTAACATACCTTCCGAAGCATGGAGGAGTTCGAGATGGAAAATTTTTTTGTCACCCATCCAATGACCTACCACTGCGAAAGTTGCTTAACTTCAACGATCGCAGCCGAACGCGCTAACCACTTGAGCCATCGCGCTCCTCATTGTTAATAAGTACTGATCCCTATATCATCTCCTACAGTGCCACCCGACATCGACGACGAAGCGAGCAGTAGTGAAGTGATCGTCAAAGAGGGTGAGAACGCAGCGCTCCACTGCGCTGCATCGGGGACACCTCCCCCCACAATAGCGTGGCGCAGAGAAGACTCCAGACACTTCAAGATCAACAACCAGACTTTGGGTAAGCTTTTAAGCTCACACATGTATAAATCCCTCCGATTCCGTCGGCCTAGGCACGTCTTAGAGTACCCTAACGACGAAATCACCCGCGCCAACGCGCCTCCGACTCCTCCCACACAGGCCACAAACACCAACACTACGCAGCTAGCATACTTGCATACTAGCTAAGCACTAGGCAGTCACCGCATCCGTAGGATAAGAGTGAGAATACCAGTTCTACATACGACACGCTATACCAGGTACAGGTACGTACCTGGGCGTTTTTCGCCGCCCCACGACAACGGCTGACTAGTCGACGTAGTTGAGCCGATCCCCTCAGGTTCGAGTGATCAAGAGGGTCCAGATGGAGAAGAGACTCCCTCCCTTGGGGAGATGCCATCCACCTGGAATACGTCTAGAGGCACTCGCTAATTCTCGGCTTGAGGTCCTCTTAGGATCTCGCTGTCGCCATAACCGGTGACGCTTTAATCATCATCATCATTCATTCATTCATTCAATTGGTCATCTGAGACCAACAGTATACAGACAAAAAAAAATAGGTGGATACCTAGATCTCGCCTAACTTCTAGTCCGCTCTGAAGTTGCTTCGCGCAGTACACCTGTGCGTAGTCGTATAAACAATTTTCGCCTCTCTGTAAACATGGACTTTTTGTACTGCGACGCGAATTCTGCAGTATTCCAAAGTTTCATTCAAAAATTTGAAAAATAAATATTTTTTTAAGTTATGTTATTTTTGGTCCAATATATTTATTTAAAAAATTAAAATTCTTCCTTAATTAGCTTTTGTCCACTGCGTACATACTTAAAACAATTTATAAACCGAACGGGGAATTTGGTTATTTTCCCGTACATTGTGAGTGTTGCCAATTGTTGAAAGCATGGTTGGTCATTGTCAATCAAAAAGTGTTACTACCGCACTTTGCTAACTCAAGTGTGTTGTTTCATCCAAAGTTAAATTTGATTATGGTTATAATACCAGAGAGAAAATAACCATATGACAAAATTTCACATATCATCATCATTAGCCTATTAATGTCCCCACTGCTGGATAACCCACCACGCGGGCCCAGTGCGGATTGGTGGGTGCTTATGAATGCAGATGCAGCCGGGACCAACAGCTGAACGTACCTTCCGAAGCACGGAGGAGCTCGAGATACTAAATTTTTGGTCACCCATCCAATGACCGACTGACCGATCTCCTAAATTTCACACATTTACTATGTATTTGACGTGATATTAACTATAGTCAAATTTGACTATTGATGAAACAACGCGGCCTTTAGTTTCATAATGCAGGCCAATTATGGAATGGAAAGGATTGTTAATTAGTATTTTGTGTCCAATGTGATAATTTTGTTACCAAACTCCAGCATCTAATTAATTGGAAAACGAATTATAACACGTTTGCATTTATGGCAAATTCACTTTTATTTAAAATCCCAATTGGATATTGCTCAGATATTGGAATATAACGTTGTATAACTAAAGTAACATATATTTTGCGGTGTTCGGCTATTATTGGTTATCAGATAGACCTTGTTGGTATTACAATAATCATTAGCTAACATGGCATATCATAGTTTATCTACTTTGGCTTTAACTTGATTACTGGAGAAAAACCGGTTGCGGCCTACATGAACCAAAGTTCTTCTTATTCTATCTCTATTTGACTTAAAACAATTGACAAAGATGGAATATTTATTTCTTAGGTTTTCACGCACATCACTCATTAAATAAAACAAGTTTCAACGGTATAGATGCAACTATTTTATTTATTTATCGTCGTTTTATTCAGACGACGCATCCTGAAAAGAATGCAAAACGTCAAAAAATAAATAAAATCAGTGCATCTTTTTTTTATATATAGATAGGTCCGACAAATGATTCCACCCCACCTGATGTTAAGTGAAGGTGAAGTCCAGACGCGAAGATAGCTGATACAGCAGTTCTACCTGCCACGTGAGCCATCCTCACCTTGCCTTCTTTGTACGCGTTGGAATTGTGGCCACAGTTAGATAGTGACACCGAAGGCCAGCGCGCGTGGTTCTCTGAAGGAAAGCAGATCTATACCGTTGAAAGGTGGAATGTTGTGTTATACACGATGAAGCCTTATTTCAAATCAAGAACTTTGTTGCTATTGGGGCTCTTAGTATAAATCTGATTTTTTTATTAGAAAATAATCCATTTGGTTCAAGTATCAGACTTGATAATTGATGATGATGATGATGATGATAGTTAAAATAAACATTAAACAATAGATTACGATTTTTCTTTTCATACTTTTATTCAAATCATCTCGACAAGCATATAATTCCGGTACAAATTAACGTAGGAGAAGCCATGTAGAAAATAGGGAATGACATAAATAACAAACGAGCAGGTAGAATGTAACAAAACATGGACCTAGAGGGAAATAATATGTTATGGAGAATACATGCTTATACAGGTTGTAAATATTGTTATGAAACCCACAGTCAGAATGTACAGAAATGTTTCACAATAATAAATTGTGGAAAACTGACAGCAAATTATTCTCAAACTAAATAACTTTATTAATACGTTTTAGTTGTAATTCAACAATCATTTATACATTTACCGGGATTCGAATCTAGAGAAATCACAGGAAACACTGTTACACGACACTAGTGCAATAGGCTAGTTGACTCATGTCGAATTATATTAAATAAATGTTTATTTCTTAAAGTATTTGGTCTAAGGAACCTAAATATATCGATTTCACTTCATAAAAGCAGAAGATTGCTGTAGAAATTTAATTTTAATAAATAATTTTAAGTCTATACTATTTAAACACTAAAAACGCTGTTCGCGTTAAAATTGTGACGTCTCTTTTGTAGTAAACAACTAAATGTCATTCATACATAACCTTAAAACTTTTATTATTAAAATTGATAATAAATGAAGTGACTTAAAATATTATTCAATGAGTACTTACATCATAAATTACTCATAAATTTTACAATGAGTCTATAAACTTGCAGAATCCCTTTTAGCAAGCTCTAACTAGGTAGGTTAGGTAGGCGTAGGTTAATTTCTTTCGGCACTTTAATCCACAGTTTTCCTGGAGTCTTCAAGGATGTATTTTTACATTCTCGTACAAAACAGTAATGATAATTAATATATTTTCCGTGGTATTTATTAGAAATCATGTTTTTATTATTATAAACTCAGATAGGTCATTTTCTATGTGCTTACGAGTTTTTGTTTACCACCGGTTGACGTCATATAGACTAAAATGGCCGACAGCATTTTGTATGTCCATGAAAAGTCTATTTTAAAATTAAAGATTTGTGGCTTTCTAGGTCTCACAAAAATATAATACATTTTTTTTGGTCTAATAGAACATTTATAGTTAATATTTAAAACCTTTTTCCAAAAAAGGTCAACAAGCCTTTTTAGTTTTACCTTGTATGTATGTCCAAAATTTGTTTATTTCATTTAATATTCAAAATTGTAACATCCCATATCCTCCCAATAGATTTAATATTTTTATTGTTGTTGTTATTTGTTAATGTTATGCAGACACAATTGTAAAATTTAAATTGTGTCTAGTCTGTAAATGTCTTTTTGGCGTACTGTGTGGGTAGAGGGAGAAGGAAATATGTTTTTTTTCTCTTTCTTTTTAAATGGCTGTGGCGGAGATAATTCAATACTTCAGCCAAGTATGTTTTGTTTTTATTTTTATTCCTGTTCTTTTATTTTGTTTTCTATTTTCTTTTTTATGTTATTTGTTGTTTTTGTTGTTATGGTTTCGTGCGACACCAAACCGGTTCCAACGGAAGACCAGCGCTGATGGCAACATTAGCTCTATGCTGAGTTGGGACCCATTTGAGACAAAATCTTATTGTTTCATTTTATTGTTTATATTAATAGATTTTTGTTTTTGTCTCAAATAAAATTATTTCTTTCGTTCTTTCTTTCTTTAGGTTTTTGGCGCGGCAGCAAGAATCGCTATCGCATAAGACTCGCCAATTTTAGTACTTTCATAAAAAAAAATGTTGCTTTGTTTTTAGTAATTTATTTACTAAAAACAAAGCAACATTTTTTTAGGTGTTATACCACGAGTACATTTTCTTGTATTTTCATTGCCGTAAGGGCGCTAAGTTAACGACCGGTTTTCTGCTTGGTCTAGGCACAGTTTCTACCCGGGCCGAGGCTCAGTTTGTTCACGAGCATGGTTTGTGCGTTTGTACCGACCGCAAACAATCGCTAGCGCGGGCATAGTTAGTATACATCCATAGTGCCCCCCATACTTAGTTGACGAACCGGTCCTCTACATCATCATCAGCCTATTAATGTCCCCACTGCTGGGGCACAGGCCTTCCCTATGGATGGAATAGGGAGATTAGGCCCTGACCCACCACGCGTGCCCAGTGCGGATTGGTGGGTACTTACGACTGCAGATGCAGCCGGGACCAACGGCTTAACGTGCCTTCGGAGGAGCTCGAGATAGATATATAAATTTTTGGTCACCCATCCAATGACCGACCACTGTGAAGTTGCTTAATTTCAACGATCGCAGCCGAACGCGCTAACCACTTGCGCCATCGAGCTCCGCTACCGCGGGCATAGTTAGTAAACATCCATAGTGCCCCATACTTAGTTGACGAACCGGTCCTCTACATCATCATCAGCCTATTAATGTCCCCACTGCTGGGGCACAGGCCTTCCCTATGGATGGAATAGGGAGATTACCATGACCCACCACGAGGGCCCAGTGCGGATTGGTGGGTGCTAACGACTGCAGATGCAGCCGGGACCAACGGCTTAACGTGCCTTCGGAGGAGCTCGAGATAGATATATAAATTTTTGGTCACCCATCCAATGACCGACCACTGCGAAAGTTGCTTAACTTCAACGATCGCAGCCGAACGCGCTAACCACTTGCGCCATCGAGCTCCTCAACACTCTACAACCGGGTAGAAATCGTCTTTTTCATGTTAAAAGGGTGGCAAACAAGCGTATAGCTTGCCTGAAGGTAAA